CGAGCGATGAGAAAGCCGGGGCCCAGGCTGCTCCCGCGATGCACCTTCCTACCGCGCACGTTTTCATGATCCTCGTTCCTGCCACGCGCATCCCCGCGGTACGTGCGCCCACGATGCACCTTTCTGCCATGCGTGTTCCCATGAAACATGCACTGGCAAGGGGCTCTGCTCAAATACGTCCCCACCGTCTGGCAAAATGCCCTGCACATGACCCAAGTTTGGGTTACCTGCCTCACGTGCCACCTGGCTGGAGCCCAGCCTGTCCTTGTGCATGCACCAGCCCTTTGGGGGAACCTCCCAGAAGGCACCGAGCTCCTGGTGGCCTTCGGTCTTGTGCAGGGGATGGTTTTGGACATGATCAGCATCTCCATCCGAACTGTGGACCCTGCAGGTGACTGGTGACCATGAGGGCAGCAGGACTTGCAGTGTGGGGCTGTGAAATGCCTCCGTGGGTCCCCACGTGCCCCGTGTCAGGGATGGCAGCATCGTGGGCTCTGTGTGTCCTCCTCCACCCGTAGCTCCAAGGAGCAGGCAGGTTGCCGCTGCCGGTGGCGGGGGCTGTGCTGACAGCCCTCCTGAAGTCAGGGTACTTCCCCACGCTACATCTTGATCTCCCAACACAGGTGCCCGGCCACTGCAGGCACACAGTAAGGTACAGCACACCACGGGCTCTGTCAGTGATTTCGCTCTCTGGATTAGTTTGCTGATCCTCCAAACACAGTCTCCCCTCGTGCTCAGAGCCTCCCTGATCCCAGCTTTGTCAAATCCCAGCCACACTCTGTGTTCGGGGGCCGATTAGCAGCAGGCTGCCACAAAGGGAGCTGCACAGCAGCAAGGAGCACAAAGCAGAATTGCAAAATCAGTCAGGAGACATTTTACACCCCTCAGGACCTTGCCAAGCTGCAACCCCCCCCCCGAAGCTTCTGGCATGTCCAACACTCCCAGCAGCACCCAGCACCACTGCAGAGCGTGACCAGCCCCTGCGCATCGCCCAATGCCGGTTCCTCCTTGTCTCGGTGTCTGCAGCCCTTGCTCAGGGTAACCTCGGCCCCGCCGCCAGCAGTCGGTCTGTCGTTCTTCCTTCTGGTGCCTTTCTGGGATGGTGCCGTCCCCTGAGCACCCTGGGGCAACTCAGGGGCCTGTAAGAGCAGAGCCCCCAGCCCAGGAGCTGGGCATCACACACACAGGACACCACAGCTGCTGCAACTAAGGTTTGCTCTCCCTATTGAACTCCAGCTAAAGGCAGGCGTTCCCCGGAGCAGGGTTGCTTGGGGCCACCAGCTAGCAGTGATGGGGTGCTACAGCATGGGCCTCAGCGTGCCCCAAGCCAAGCAGCTCACCCTTCGGGCTCCTCTGGCTATGTGTTTACGTGATCTCAGCACAACATATAGCCGGCAGCCCAGCAGTGCTTCGTGCGCTCTCAGGAAGCGGAGGAAGAATGGGGCTATAATAAGAGCAGGCAGACAATGAGTGCCGGCAGTGTGCAGGGGCAGCCCAGAACCCGTGGGGCCACCCAGCACCCATGTGGCTGGTGCCACCACGGACACTCGCTCCTGGCCCTGGCCATCCTCCTGGGGCTCGGCTCGCCCATCGCCTCTGCAAGCGGCGAAGGTGTTTTTCGCAGGCCCCGGTGGACAGCTGCCCTTCTGCAAGCCTGGGTGGATAGCGTGGTGCCTGCCCGCCCGCCCGCCTGCCTTTGGGAGCCAGACATCGCCACCTCGTGATGGATGGCGACCCTGGTGACGGCCAGCCTGGCTCTGCTTTCCACCAGGAGCCCCCCTTTCTGTCCCCGCTGCTGGAAAAAAAGAGTGGGGAGGCCCAGCACAGGCACTGGCCACCAGTGGGGTCTGACAGGTTCAGCCCCTGGACGGCGGATCTGGGAGGACTCAGGTCCATCTCAAGCCAGAGCACTCAGGGCGATGCCCTCCCACCGACTCCTGTGATGGATTCCAGCCTGAACACATGAAGTCTGTCCCAAAGCACACAGGGGATGGCCAAACTTTTTCCTTAGTACTGTCTTTATTTTTACAGGTAACACTAGGCACGGAGGACATCCAAACACTACGACAAAAGGCCTGTTTGCCTGAGCCCACACACCAGACCTAATTCACATTGCTACACAGACCAAAAACGAATGGGAAACAAGACAAGGAACACACAGAGCTTCAGTCTCCTGGAAAGGAGGGACAGGACTGGCTTGGCAATGCATCTGCCATGTGGGAGAACGAAGCCTTGAAGGCTTCCTGGAGCCAACAGGGATAGAGTAACCTGAAACGTGGGGCTGAGTCCCTCCGGAGGCATCTTGGAGCGAGCAGGCTGGGAAGGAGGCTATACGTTAGGCCTGCCTAGTTGGCAAGATTGCAGGTTGAGGGCCTATGCTTTACCACTAGGAATAGCTCGCGTGTCTGGGGACCTCCTTATAGCTGAGGAGGAGGCCCAGGGGCCAGTTGCATGTAACCCATTAGCTGCCAAGCGTCTGCACCGTGAGGAAAGCCCTACCTCTGCCACTCAGCGGGCATTGGGGTCAAGTGAGCACCGCACACACAACGCTCCCACCCTCTCGTCCTCCTTCACGCACTCCTCTTCAGCCTCAGGGCATTGTCCAGGGCGACCAGCTGGCGCAAGAAACCCCGGTTGGGGATGATACCACGGTGGTCCTTGACCGTCTTTATGGCTTCTACAAGGGGCATGTGGTGGCGGATCATGAGGTAGGCGAGGACCAAGGTGGCCGACCTGCTCACCCCGACAGCACAGTGCACAAGGATCCTTCCTGGGGGTGAAACACAGGGGCTGTGTCACAGCAGGCCGAATATCCCAATTAACAAACGTACTGAGGACCCAACTGTTTGCCATGGTGCATCCTGGAGCTGTGGCTCAGGTGTGCAGCCTCTGGGGTTAGATGTAGGGCCCCAGTTATGGTATGACTGTGATGCACTGAGGTCCCCGTCTTGGCAAAGGGTATCAGTGTATCGTGATCTCCCAAAACAGACAGAATAGAAGCAGCCACAGCTCAGGACACAGGCTGGGGTTGTGACCTGGGGGGCCAGTGCTCTCATCTAGCCTGTTCCCTCTTTGGAGGAGGTGATCCAGTGCAGGAAACGCTATCCTAAGCTAGAAATACTTTTGTTTTCTAGGATGCTTAGCAATAGGATATCAATCCAGCTTCCCACCCGCCTGGGGCAGTTTCTTCCCATCCCTGCTCCCCACTTCTCTCGCAGAAATCTTTACCACCGACCTTCATTCAACGCTTGGTGGATGAAGTCAGCTGCAGGATAAAAGTAGGGGCTCATGTCAAAGGAAGGCGAGTCATGGGCCTCAATGCCCAGGTAGCGGATGCCCGTGCCCTCGTAGTACTCAGCACCCCCCCTCCACTTGCTGTGCGAGGCATTGAGGATGTGGGTGATGCGCAGGTGAGCCAGCTCGCGCCGGTTGGCCGCTATATCTCTGCGGAGAATAAGAAACAGTGCAGAGATGCATAAGTTTAGGCTAGTTAAAAGAAGAGTTTCCAAGGACAGTGTAAGGGCTGTCCTGGACAAACATTTATGTCTGAGAAAGCTGGATGCAAAGGAAAAATGCCAGACTCTGAAGATTCTTGAATTTTAAGTCAATCTCACAGTCCCTGACTCCACGGACACTCCACCTCTGCCTACCCCACCACAGCAGTGCTCTGAACTCTCTGCACAGCCGTGCTTATGTCCTTCCTCCTCCTTTGTCCCAGTGTACCACATCCAACGTGTCCTCCTCTCCCTCACATTTCCCAACCTCCCCCTCCCAGATTTCCCCATTTCACAAAAATAGCCCTGACCCCCCACAGTTCTTGTCCCCTTCCGATACATACTGATCGCCCAGGTAGAGTCCTGGCCAGACCTCATCAGCATGATTACAGGCTGTCTTTCCCGTGTACAGCAACCTTTCAAGCTCGAAGACGCTGAGGATGGGGTGGTGGTTCCGCTCTTTTTTCGCTCTTCCCGTGAGCCCCGGCTCGGTGACCTGGTGCCATTCCTGGAGAACCTGGACAGGAAAGCCATTGGAGCTGCCGAGACCCACAAGGCATACCTGTGGGTTCGTGAAGGCCGGAGAGTGGCCTGGAGGTCACTTCTGCTGCTGCTGCCACCCACGGTCCTGTCATGGAAGCAGTGGAGATGCCATTAGAAGAACTGGGGACCTCTCACTCCATCCCTTTTGTAGAAATACTGGCCCAAAGCAGCCAATTTTCACCTTCCTGATGAGAGGGCTGCGTCAAGTCAGCTACCCAGTGGTTCCCAGTGTGAGACAGAGTATCGCCTACACTCCCTTCCAAGAAGCAATACTGCTGGGGAGAAGTTTATGATGCCAGGGCTGGTGAGGGAAGCCAGAGAGGCAGCCAGATTGCTGAGTCTCCACAGGCTGAGGTTTTGCTCCAGCTCCACAACTTTGGGTTGAGGCCACATTGGCAAGAGATGTTCTACACAGGACCACCTTCCTTCTGAGCTGGCTCTGGGGCTTTGTCTGCCAGCGGGACAATGCCAGCTTGAGAACTGGTGCTGCCAACCTGCAGTCAGAAGCAATGAAAGGCGGCCAGGTCTGGGCAAGCCACCAGGACTGGGGAGGAAAATCCCCCAAACAGGTGGAGGATTCCATATGGCACCACGCAGAGTCTGGCCAGGACCCAGACTCCTACGGACCAGGCACAAAAGCCTGCAGGGAGGGAGAGGCAGGATTAACCCCTCCAAGTGCAGTAGTGCTGCCACTGCATTTGAACATCTAGGACTGGTTTGGGGTGGGAAGAGTTAATTTCAGGGGATGAGAAAGCTCATTTTACAGAGCAGATCCTCTAGGACGAAGCTCTGCTCTCAAATCTTTAGATCACGTCGATACTTGTCACACATCTGCAAGAAACCTCCCTGGACAGCCTTACCCACACGGAGCAGTTAACAGTCCCTACAGCCAGGTCTTTGTCAGAGCTGCCTTTTTTTGCTCGTTTGCTGCTGCCTCACTGACAGAACCCCCCACACATGAGAATACAATTCTCTTTCCCACCATCACTGCTGCTGCCCTGAGCTGCCCTGGAAGGTGTCCAAAAAGCATCCCATCACAGCCCCCCCAGCAGCAGCTCAGCACTGGCCACTGTCTCTGGGATTCCGGGGAGGAAACGCAGCGACCTTGGGCTGGCCAGGCTGGATCAGAGCATGCCTGTCTCCTTTGACATTTTGCCTAAGGTGCTGGCCAGCAGCCAACGGTGCAGAAGGAAGAAGCCTCCAGCCATTTCTTGGCAATGTGCAGAGGAGGAAAACATTGCAAGGGCACGGGGGAGCTCAGAGGGAGTCCAGAGAGACTCATGGATGTCTCCCTGCCCACTCCCTGTTCCAGGGTGGCAGTTCAGACCCTGCCTGGCATCCTGGGGTGCTGCACAGGAGGGGTCATCCCTGCTCGCGCTGCTCATCCCTGGCACCGAGCACACCACACTCCCCCAGCACGGGGTATGGGCCAGATCTCACCCTGACACATCTCCCCTGCCCTGATGAATTTTGGACTCCTTTACACTGGGAGTTCTTCAGACTTGGCAAACCCCACCTGGAAAAGGCATTCAGCATGGCCATGTGCCGGGGCCCTTAAACCTTGTGTGACCTTGGCTGCAGCACTGCCATATGCCACCAGCCCCAGGCAGCATTAAGAAACAAACAGCAGAAGGGTCTGAAAAAAGCAACTAAATCATCAGCATAAGGCTGTAACTAGCCAAATAGCAGACCCTCTTATTGCTACAGCTGGCTGGAAAAATAGCAATCCACACCTACCCTGGGATGTAGCTCTAGAAACCTCAGGCCCAAAGCTGGCTTCCAGCACCCCACCCCCAACACACCACCATGCCAGCCCCCCCCAAGGTGCTGCAGGGGAAGAGAAACTGCCCCACATCCAAGACCTCAGAACAGACCCCAAAGCACTCCTGGCACCCAAAACCCTCACAGGCATCGGCTGTACCCCCTCTTTTGGCAGCCAAGCCCAGGGGCTCGGACCCCGCTCCCCCGAGCATGCTCATGGCTGCCTCCGGAGCCCCTCTGCCAGTCATGCCGTGCTTGGAGGGAGGGGAGAAACAGCCAGAGCCTGCTGTTTAGATGCACAGAGTGAGCTCTGAAGAGGCTTCGCTGAACGAGCGCAGGCTGCTTAGCCCCGCACACTCCGCAGAGACAGACAGACAGACACGCAGGAGGAAGGAGACGCCCACCCCGTTACTCTACCTTTGTGAGGGCTGTGATTTCTCGGCTCAAAGTGAGTGTTGTAGTCAGATCCAGTCGGCCATGTCTTCCTGCTGCTGCCGCCGCTGCTGTAGAAAGGCTGATGTATGAACATCTATTTTAAGCCATGACATGTCCAGAGGCAGGTTTGTTTATATCATGCTGTGCATGGATGGATAAGAGAGGAATGAGGGAGACAGACACAAATGCAGAGATCGCATGCAAGCATGCACAGACATAGACGTAAGTGCCCATTACTACACAGACAAAAACAGCAGCAACAATAACATATCAAAATTCTCCTGTCAGCTTTTCTCTCTCTCCTCCTCCAGCAACCCAAAAGCCACAGGCGCGCAGGGAAGGAGAGAAGAAAAAGCCGATAAAGTGGTGCTGATGACATGATTACCCATATCATAAATCTGTAGCCGTCTCTAGAGGATGCTCCTTCATGTTTTTTTTTTTTACGGTTGACCTTGTCTTCCCCCCTTGCTAGGGTCTCTTTGGCAGAGCCACGGCTTGGTGACATTTTCTTCATTTGCCTGTGGGGGGGTATGTATGTGGTGATGACAAACTATTTACAAATTCATGTCAAAGGCAGGGAATACTTTTTTTCGGGGGAAAAAAAAAAGAAAAAGAGAGGAAACTCAAAAGATTGAAGCTTTTTGTTTTGACATTTTCTAAATGACACCATTCATTTCAGAAGTGCTGCAATATTTCAGTTAAACATTTTCCAGGTGGAATATTCTCCTTTTCCCTTTGAAGTGCTGGCTTTCAATTTAAGAGTTTGACTCAAATCAGAAAGTAGGAGTGTGGTGGAAAAAACAACCTGAGGAAGAATTGAAACATGCCGTTCCAGGCCAAACGACACATCCTAGGAAGATTTATGGCATTCCCTCCCCCACTCCTATTTGATTAAAAACCAGGAAAATTTCCTGTTTTGTTTTCAGCTGAATTTGTGTTCATCCCAGGATACAATCTCAGAAGCTTCAAGGATGAACTCAGCATCACCAGATACCCATCCTGTCCCACCTGCACCACAGTATGTGTACACGATGAGGTTTAGCTGGGCTTTTTCAACATCCATCACGGACAGAACAGGTCCCAAGAGTGAAGCCTCAGAGCAGCACGCACCTTTCAGTATATCACAGGCCTGTTTTTTCCCCCCCATTGCGCATAGCTAAATGACAGGGTTGTCAGGAGCTGTACTGGAGGTTAACAGCATACATGGGTTCAAGAAGACTTTGGACACACCTGGATTTCAGATCTCTCAGCCTTCGCCATGAAGTTCTGGATACAGCTTCAGCCTAGGAAGTTGGTAACGCCCCAGATACTGGAGGATATGCTCAGGAAGGCTTTTGGGATATGCCCTGCTCTTAACTGCTTTCCCCAAGCAGTAACTGCTGGCCGCTGTAGGAGCTGGGTACCAGAGATGATGGACTTTGTCTGTTCCAGTTCCTTTGCACCTGCGGAAATATTCACCCGGTGCTAACGAGTCCCAGGAGACACCCACACGCAAGACTAACAAAGCTCTCAGAGCTGCAGATCCAGGGGGTCCCCATAAGCCCTTCTGCCAGCTACACTCACCTGATCCTCAGGGAACAGAGGGTCCAGCTCCATCTGCCCCAAACGCTCCTTACCAAACAGCTCTGCTGTGCGAATACCCCCAGGGTGACTGTGCCCAGGCCTGACTGGCTCCGTGTCCATCAGCCACGCTGGGGCAGCAGATGTGACATGTCAGGTAGCTACCCTGCCACCAGCTCCAGGCACAGAGAGCCAGAGCTACTAGGTACAGCCCCGCGGGCTGACCAGGAGCAGCCTCCCCCTCTCCTGGCATGGCCTCCAAAAGCTCCTGCCCTCAAGAAATGCTGCCCTGCTGCCAGCTGCCTCTGCTCCCAGACAACAGGCAGTGAGGAAGAGTTGCTGGTCCCACCCTTTGGCTCCTGTTCAATACATGAGAAGCAGCACCCAGAGACCTGATTTATCCCCTTCCTCCATGGCTTGCTCCAGCTCCTCCATGCCCAGACTCCCAGGGGCACACAGGCAACAGCGAGGGACAGAGCCCAGGAGGTCCTGGGCGAGGGCTGGCTTTGCTGTCCTCACTGAGCTAACAGTATCTCACTGATGTGTGATGCTGCCAGCTTGGAAAAAGCCTGTCCTGTACCCTGAATAAGAGGTATGATTCCACTTACCTGCAGAAAGGTTGAGCTTTTCACTTCTGCCTGGCAGCGCTCCTCCGAAAAACAGGGGTCAAGTAACCTAAAAGGAAATTTGCACTTTCACAGCTCTGCGAGACACCTTTAACATGGACAAGCAGAGGCCCTCTCCCTCCCCTGCACCAAGGCATTACGTTCCCAGTAGTCTGTAAAATGTGCTTCTAAACAGAAGTGCCTACAACCCCCATCACAAAAGGTTAAATCTGAATTTAAAAAAACTACATGAAATAAAATTAGATGGATAAATGTTTTGGCAGAGCATTGCCTGCAGGGAACTTACTGGTCATTTAAACAGAGGATTAGTAGTTGTTATGTTTTTATTCCAATAAATGGAATTTACTGGAATTGCTTTGTAAAGCAGCCAGAAGTCCCCAACAAAGCTAGTGACTGCTTCTTAGATAATGAGATTGCAGATGCTTTGAAATGCCTGGGTAGCTGCATCAAGGAAAAGTGTCAGCAATCTATCTTTTTATAAGGGAAGTTTCTTAGACACAAACCAGACCTCTTTGCCTCACCTCCTCTTCTTGTTTTCCATAAACATCAGTGATGTAGCAGAGACTGAGTTGCTCCTTGCTCCCTGGTAGGATTTATCAGCTCAATATGTTGCTTCTGAAGCTCCTGTCCTGGAAGACAAGAGACCACTCAGGGCACTGGAACTGGTCCGCAGAGAATACCTATAGTACTGGATAGTTTAAGGATAGCACTGGCAGAGATTTCCTGTATCCCCTGACGGGCAGGCTTGCCTGCTGTGGGGGGTGCTGCTGTTACAACAGGGGTGGGATGCTGGCACAGGCAGCTATGATATCCCTGTATCTCAGCTATTGTCAAAAACTGCTGTGCACAGCAGGCCTGCGGCAGCGATGATGGAGCAGCTGTTTTCAGCTCAATTAGGGACGGAATCAGCTCCCAGCAGAATAAGCAGGGCACCCGCTGCTCTCAGCTCTCCCCCCTTCTCCTGTGCTGAGCTTGGAGCAGGGAGGAATCAGGTTTGGGGTCTGCAAAACCCACAAGTGAGCTAAGATAAAGGGCTGCTTGGAAAAGTTCACAGATCCAACCACTGGAGGCTGCTCTGGTTATACATAAATCACCACTGTGCGCATTGTCAGACATGGAAAATTCAACACAAGGAAATAAAGGGCAGGGGTTAGAGAGTTTCAGAGCTGCTATTTCCTGGCTTTATACTCCCCATGCATGCAAATTCACCGTGGTCTTCACAGCTCTAGTTTAAAGATCAGAGATCAATCGCTTCACGCACTAAATGCTGCATGTCCAAAAGCCACCTGGAGGGCACAGGAGCCAGACTTTATTATACTCAATCATAAACAGAATACATGTATTTCATCCAACATGTGCTATTTGATAGACCCACTGCAGAGGAGGGTGGCAGACAGAGGGAGTGCAGAGCGCACAGACAGCTGTAGCATAACAAGGTAAAATTAAGCCCGCTATAACTTAACAGTCAGGGTAAGAAGGTGGCATCGTTGGAAAGGGTAGTGCAGGATGACAGAGCAGCATTACAGCCACATCCTGAGAGGGGTTTGAACAAATGTGATTTAGTCGGCACTGAAACTGCCCAGGAGGAATTGCATGCTCAGCTGAGGGGGCAGCAACTACCAAGCTGGGGGAGATAAATCTACCCCTTGCACTGTGGCATGGGCTCTTCTCTAACTGCACCATGGATGAAGCATTGTAAAGGTGGGGTCCACTGCAGGCTGCCTCAGAATATTTCATAGAAAATTTATCTGAAAACGCTATGGTCATGTGGCCAGTCAATCCAAGATAGGATCAACTCTCTATCAAAGTAATGAAGTAATAAAGAGTAATCTTCACTCTCTACTTGCCTACATTTAGGTCACGGATAAAGATCTCTTTTGGGGCTCTATACATGCTCTGGCAGTCTGGAAGGAAATTGCAAAGCTCAAGGTGACCACCCTGCCGGGGGTTGTCCCAAGTCCAGCCCACCCTCCCCAGCCTCCTCACTCTCAGCGCCTCTGGGACAGAAGTTGCGTGCTGTTAAATCCTCTCCCAGCCCCCAAATACATCTCTGCTTCCCTGTAAGAAATGTGATCCAAGGTAATAAACCCTTGAAAGAGAGGATGTGCGAGTAACACAACCCCTCTGTGCCCATTCCAGTAGCGTCAGCCAGCAAGTTAAAGCCTCGTCACTTGGCTGTACTGATTCACTGCTGGAGGGGGCCACTTGAGTTCTGGAAATGCTGAGATATTTTGCATTAAAAGAAAGAAAAAGGAAAAAAAAGGAGGAAATAACAGGCACCAGACTCATTGTCCAACAGCTGTAAAGCCTGCAGAGCCTCAATTTGCGAGGAAGCAGTCCTTGTCCAGAGGGAGAAAGACAGATGCTTGCTTTGTTGCAAACTTACAGTGTTTATGATTACTTAGCAGGGAGACTCTGAATTGCTTGTGGATGCATTTTGCCTGTCATCCACTGTCTTGTTAATGTCAGAAGCAGCCTGGGATAGATTTGAGTTGCTACAGTGCAAGGAGGAAAAAAAACAAAGAAAAAACTAGCTGAAAAAACATAAGTTGCTGGCAAAATATGCTGTGAAATCCTGATGCTTTCTGTCTAACTGTTCACTTCAGCTTGTCACATCTTGTTAGCAGAGCAGGCTGGGGCACAGTCCAAACCTTCTTGAAGCTGGTGGGAGGTTTGCTGTTGACCTGATACTCATCGTGTTTCAATGCTCGGAAAGATGTCAAATGGAAGAGAATTACCCACACCCCCCTGGAAGGGAGCACAGCTGAGACATTGTCGTGGTTTAACCACAGCCGGCAACCAAGCACCACGCAGCCGTTCGCTCACTCCCCCCTGGTGGGATGGGGGAAGAGAATCGGAAGGAGAAAAGTGAAAAAACTCGTGGGTTGAGATAAAGACAGTTTAATAGGTAAAGCA